TTAATCTCCTGTTCTTCTGCTGTTCTGCTGCTGTTCTGCTGTTCTTCTGCTGTTCTGCTGCTGTTCTGCTGTTCTTCTGCTGTTCTGCTGCTGTTCTGCTGTTATTCTGCTGTTATTATTCTCTATTTCGCCTACACAGTCTTACATATATATACCAAGATATAAAGACACCACTGCCCCAAGGGCCAAGTGACACACTGCCACATGCAACAGACTCAGAATTCGGCTATTGGGCCAATTTTCTTGGATGATTAATGGTATTGCCACCAAGTTTTTTCCAACATTTTGTTGGAAAGACAAACTTGTTATCTCATTTTGCAGCTGCTTCCTCTGTTCGTATTTTTTCCGATCTTTTTTCCCCCCTTTTAATAAACACCGAAAAATGTTTTAAAGCGGCGCGAAATTATTCAGGCGTTTGACACACTTTCGTTCGGCGATTCAGGTGTGTGAGCTTTTTAGCCGGCTGGTTGTTGCTGGATATTGCTTTTGCTGTTCCTCAGGTGCGATTGCGATGCTGTAACCTATTTTGCATGCGTCGCCTGCGATTATGGCTATGCAACGCGCATTGACTCCAATTTCTCGATCCACCAATTAGGGTCAGAGGATTGGCGGATCATAATCAGTCACACGTTTCTTTATGGTTGAAAATGGCAGGTGAGGGGCTTCTCAATTCGGGGCGTGCCTAAGAATTCTCTGAATTTTTGATTCGGTGCACACGGAAGTGTTGGGTGTAAAAGGGTGTAATCTACACATATCATTTTCAACACGTTTCATATCACAGTAGGTCCTATCAAACAAAACTTAAACCAATAATAGTTGTACATAAATTTAAGATGATTGCTATCTAAAAATGTATTTCTTAGGTTTTAAGTTTTACAAATATGGATAGAGATTGTTTGAAATTTGCCCTAGGGTAAATAGTTAATAGTTAATGGGACAACAAATTATAACCTAATTTCAAGAAATAGGCAACTTGAACAAGATTGTTTGTCTTCATTAAAAAAGGTTGGAAGACGAGAACTGAAATAACTTCGGCAAGCCGAAGTTTTAATACATTAGCAGGTAAATCAAAAATGTATGGCAGCGTGCGATGCGTTATAAGCCCGAAAAAATCAACTCTAGTTTATCTTTTTTTATCAAAACTCTGAGAAAAAATGTTCAATTATTGGAATGTCATACCTCAATGAATTCGTTATTAAATTCCCAATCGATTACCATTCACAGAAAAAATTTCATTTTCAGCCAATTTTGGGCAAAAAACATGAACTAACCCCTTATAAAAAATGCAAAAATCGGTAAAAATATAAATTTTTCCAAATAAACCTGGAATTGATTGTTTAGATCCTCAGCTGCTCAAAACATTCATTCTTTAGTCTGTGGGTCGTATTACGGCTTAGTTAGAACAAAAAAGGCTTAAAAAGTTTTTATTTTACCAAATTATATTATCCTCTGCAAGGGTAAAAATAAATTAAAATGACCAGAAATAAAATGTACTGCTACTGTAAATTTGTTCTTATAAAATATGGCCCTGTAGTACTTAAAAAGAACTATCTTATTATTTGTGTATCATTCTTATGTCCCTAACAGCATTAAAGAAGTTGAGCAGGTATAGGGATTTACACCTTATATTTAGGAAATTTAGTATAAACAAGAGAGAACGCTATAGTCGGGTGCCCCGACTATCAGATACCCGTTACTCAGGTGAAGGGAGTGCGAGGGAGATGGAGATAGAAACTTTGATCACGCATAACTTTTTAACGAATGGTCCGATTTGAAAAATTTCTTCTACATTTCGATAGGTATTGATAAACACAATAAAACTGCATTTTTACTTTTCCGAAATATTTAAATTTTTAAAATCGTATATTAGCGATTGTGGGCGTTAAAGGGGGCGTGGCACCTTTTTGAAACAAACTTGCGCTGCGTAGGAACTCCTAAAATCTACATGCAAAATGCCAATCTTCTAGCTTTTATAGTTTCCGAGATCTCAGCGTTCATACGGACAGACAGACGGACAGACGGACAGACGGACAGACGGACAGACAGACGGACAGACGGACATGGCTAGATCGACTCGGCTAGTGATCCTGATCAAGAATATATATACTTTATAGGGTCGGAAACGCTTCCTTCTAGCTGTTACATACTTTTGCACGAATACAATATACCCTTTTACTCTACGAGTAACGGGTATAAAAATTAATTAATTATAACAGCAACAAAGAAACTTACTCACATTTTTTTTGCTAAAGCCTTAATTTCTTCTTAATACACCAAAAATGATCACAGATAAGCCGCACTGTGTCGGCGTGCTATAAAAACATACGTTTTTAGTGTAACTTTCAAAATGCATAATCATGTAGTACAAACATTCAATTTGCTCGGGCCAGATCAAATAAATTATGTTAAACTGCATAATTATCGCTGGCAGGTTGTGCTGCCTGCCATACTTCATTAAGTCAGCCCCAGGTTGGTAATTAATTCATTGACTCCGCCACCCGAGATTGAAGTCTGTTGGCTCTAAGAGCTCTGTTAGCTGGCGGTACTGTTACCGGTACTACCAATGGGTCTCTGTTAGGGCCCGTGGTTCTGTTAACTGACTCTTTCTACGGAAATAAAAGGCTTTGTTTTGGCCTAACTCCCGCCGCCTAGGGCGTTTTCTCACGTCTCTTCGCCGACTCTCTTTCGCTCCGTGTTTGCGCCCGCTTTTAACAATTTGCGGAAGAATACTTAAGAGCACTTAAGTGTCTAATCGTAAAAACGCAAAATGTCTGCAAATAATAAAGCTGCAAAAAACATTATTGTTATTTTATTAGTAGACGCCACGAAAAAAACGAAATCTCTTTGAGAGATGAATGGGCCGAGCGAAAACAGAGAAATAGAGAAAAGGGAATAACACTATCACTTTTACTCAATTATGTATGTATGAAGATATTTTGACTGCTATTCTAATGGAGGCTTTTGCACTACTTTTGCTTAATACACTTGACTCCGGAGTACTCCGATTTACTTTCACTGGCGCTACGTGTCCGGCATACTCTCAATCGGCTTGAGTCATGGTCATGATGATTGCCTCCATTTCGGGCTGGTCCGTTCCCTGCAATTTCGGTTTCGTTACCTTCTGATTTTCATTTAATTAGCAGCGAACTAATTGCCAGTAAGCCTCCGCCGAATCTAGTTCGCTGGCCGTGTTTGCACTGGGCTCTTATGCTCCAATTTCACGACCAAACATTGACACAGTCCCCGATGCGGATTGGGGTCACCACTCGCAAGTGGAGCATCCGCGAGGTGTTAATTTGTCAGCATAAACCCGTCAGAAGTCGGCAACCACTGCTTTCCCACTTCTGGTTTAATTGCTGCCAAAATCAATTTCGTTCCAAGTGTCAGGAGCTAAAAATAGTGGCGTCTACTTGTACACACATTAAATGGGTTTTTTTCGAGGACTTTGAACGCCATTGGATACTCTTTCATTAAAGTTTGCTCAAGGTTTTAAGGTTTTCGAAACTTTATTTTTAAGTTTTTATTTCTGTGTTCTTTTACAAAAATATATTAAATTTTGTAACTTTTTAGTCTCACTTCTATATTAATTACACGATTTTTTAGTTATTAAGCCTTGCTTTACTAACATTCTTTTTATTATTTTCCTAAGTGAAGCAATAACATTTATGTATTTATTACCAGCAGCTAAAAGTGCTACCAGATGATCGTTAAAAATAAGTGTTCCATTTTTTAAATACAACTAAAACATAAAGTGTTATATTAAATTTAACGATTATTGCATGTGCAGTAAAGTATTTAAGAACCGTACAATTTGTCAGTACCGTTAAATTGTAGTTAATAAACTTGAAGTGTAGTATAATAGAGCCATGTGGAAATTTAGTTTTATATTGGTATAGATAAATTATGAACACAATTTCGATGTATAAATATTATTTTTTTGTTATATAGGTTTTCAAATTTTCGTGGTTATACATTTAATTATGGGTATATTTTTAAACAGACTTTTAAGCCCCACGTTAGGCAGAGCAAACCTTTCTCCGTTTTTCCCAGCAAGCTCGTGGTTACTGTCGTCATTTGGCAAATGAGGTGGAAAACCACTCAAGTGCATTGCCCACACCTGGGCCGCAGATGAACTTTGACACGGCAAGTGGCTGCTATGTGAGTTGGCAGTTGGGCTACGCTACCAACCAGGGCCACTTTCACTTGCCAGTCTTCGAGTGGACTTTTCTGTGGGTTTATTCGGTTGACTGCCCACAGAACAGGGAAAATATTGCTGCTGTTAATTGAGTTTATAGACTTTATAGTTTATGTTTGTATAGCGGCTGCTGTTGATGTTTGCCCAAGGTTATTTGTGACAATTAGCATTGAAAAGAGCAATTATATAGATGGCATTTGTGCGGAATTGATGTATTCGTTCAAAGTTGTCACTTTCATTTAAGGAATTTCCCACATTTTCACTACCCCCTCCAGTTATAATCCAATCAACTACAGTTGAGCGAAAAGAGATGCCTGAATGGCATGTTAATTAAGCTTTGGCCACGGGGAATTTGACAGTTGGCTTTTAAATTATTGGCAAGCGAAATCTGTGCGAAAATCTAGGTAAACTGAAATCGAATCTTTGATTGGGCCAATCCGAAGTATGCAAATTTTGGGAAAATTGTAGTTTGTAGAGCTGACAAACACTACACAATGTGGCACATCATTTGGGAACTACACTCAGAGAACACCAAAAAAATACAAAATTAAAGCAGTCATTTTAGAAAAAACTACCATTAACATGAGTTAAGGCAATAAGTGGCTATATCTTTCTTCTTGGCTAAATTCTTTTGTTTCCTATGTATTTTAAAACACAATATTTTGCAAAATTTTCGGGACTTTTGTCTTAAGTTATTTAAATTAAAATGAATTTAACAAATACAAATTATACAAAAACCATATTTAAATAGAAAATTCACATCTAAAATGATTTTTTATTTATATCGTCTTATGTCTAATTACAGCTAACGGTCGCAAGCTATTTGGTGGCTACCGCATCACCCCGAAGCACTGCCGGGCCACCAAGACGCTGCCCAGTTCGGATCCGCGGGCCAATGGACCCACCATCTGCATGTTCAACCACGAGTGCGCCCAACGGGGCGGTGAGGTGGTGGGCGCCTGCATGGACGGTTTCCTCTTCGGAGCCTGCTGCCAGATTCCACCCACCCACGAGTTGGCCAGCACGTTGATCAACGAGGCCCAGAATGCCTACTTCCAGCAGCACCAGCAGCAGACGAAGCTCCAGCAGGCGGCAGCCCAATCCTCGTTCGAGAGCTACGGCGAACAGCAGCAGCAATCCCTGAGTGAGGAGCAGGTGGCCCAGCAGCCATCGCAGAGCATCTACGATCAGCAGAACCTGGACAAGGTGTACCAGCAGTTGGGCAGCAGCAGTAGCATCAGTCCACCCAGTGGTGCCTATGGGGTGGAGTCGCAGCAGCAGGAGGATCAGCCGGAGCCGGAGGCACCTGTTAGGGATGAGCCCGCGTACTCCAGCAGCAGCAGCGCTTCCACCGAAACCTCCACCCAGTCGCAGTACTCCTCGGCCAGTGTGGAGTTCGAACAGGAGCCTTCGCAGCAGGCCGACACCTCCAATGACCAGACCACCCAGAAGATCACCAAGCAACCCGTTCAACCCATCCAGCCACCCAACTTCCATGTGCACAAGCACTCCGTCACTATCAACTCACCCTCGTCGCCGCCCCAGAATGATGACTTTGTGATGCAAGTCCTCAGCACTTTGCCACCTGAGCATGCCGACGATCATCACATCGTCTTCACCACCGAGGTACCCATGAAGATTGCCAGCGTTTTGCAGGATCAAACGAGCTCCGAGTCCAACTCCTTCGAAGAGGTTTCCTCGACGCCAGCAGCCACCCAAAAACCTAAGACGAAACCCACTCAGAAAACTACTCAGAAAACCACTCAGAAACCAACTCCGAAACCGACTACACAGAAACCCAAGCCGAAACCCGTTCCTCAATTGGCAGAGAGCATGAAGCGACCCATCCAGCACCAGAAGCCGCAGCAGGTGGTGAAACCCAAGCCAAGTCCAAAACCGGAACAGACTGTGAACAACCATCACCACAACCATTTGATCCTGGATGGCGGAGAGTTCACGCACAGTGACATCACTCACCCCGGAGCAGATGCCGATCTCGTGGAGGATCTGCAGTTCTCGACAGGATATGGACCCCAGCCTGTGTACGCGGAACCACCAAAGCAGCAACAGGAACAGCAACCACAACAACATCCGGTGGAGCAGAGCTACATCTCCTCCAGCACAAGTGCCAAGCGTCCAACGACGGGTCAGAACAGTCCCACCACTATTTCCTCGATTACCACCCATGTGGACTCCATTGAGTCGATCATCCTGCAACTGAACAATACCAGCCATGGACCCAGTTACAATGTGGTGAGCCAGCAGACTCCCTCCTATGGATATCCTGGAGCAGGAGCAGTCCACACGGAGCCAGCCACACAGCCACCCACTTTCTACCAGGAAAACGAAGCGGAGAAGGTTCAGGAACAGGACACACAGTCGGATTACGGTTACACCACCACAGTCAACTACGAATCTTCGTATGACAAGGTTTCGGATGAGCAGGATGCCTCGGCAGCAGTCAGTCAGTCCGCTGAGATGCCCACTGCTCGTCCTGGTTACGGAGAGGATGTCTCCGCCGTCCTGGAAGATCACACCCTGCCGGCCAATGGGTACCACGATGCTGTGGCTCCAGTTGCTCCACAGACCTCCGAGTTCAACAAGATGCCCGTGATGGGCATTGCCTATCCAGTGGATATGTCCTACATGGAAGAGGAGGAGAACCTGCCGGCCACTGCAGCTGGTTATGGCCAGGCCATAAGCAGTGACTCCTACGAGGGCAGCACTGAATCCGCATACCAGAAGCTCTCCACCGTCCAAACGGAGGAGCCGCAGCCAGTGCCATCTTACGTGCGTCCCACCACCAATGCCAACAAGCAAAATCGCCCAGTGGCCTCCTACATTGGAATGGTGACCATGCAGCACTATAGCCCCCAAACCCAGTCCGGAAATGGTGACTATCAGGCCCAAGTTCCCGCCGAAGTGTCCGTCTCGTCGCACACCACCAAAGTCCAGGAGCAGGAAGAAGAGACCTCGAATGTGTATCAGCAATCGGAGACCACTTCCGGCTATGTATCCCCTCCAACTGCTGCTTCTCCGGTTCAACGGCCCCAATATGATACTATTTTAGAGGATTCTTCCTCGGAGCGACCCGTTTTGGTGACGGCCAGTCCCAGACCTCGACCCAAGCCCAGTACCAAGCGACCTGGCGTGAAGAGACCCATCAACGGAGAGAACACCAAGAAGAAGCCTCAACCGCAGCCAAGTACTAGTGCCTACAACCAGGAGAAGATCAGCGAGCACAGCACGAGGAAGCCTGTGTCCAGTGGATACGACAATGTGCCCGAATCCCCCATCACACACATTCAGATCAAGAAGCCAGCGGCTAATCATCACAAGGAGCAAGAGCAAACTGGCTACCCCAGACCATCCACTGGAGGATACGAACAGAAGCCAGTGGCTAATCATCACATGGAGCATGAGCAAACTAGCTACCCCAGACCAGCCAATGGAGGATACGAACAGACCACAGCAGCAGCTCCTGCGCCAGCTGCTCCGGCCCTCAACTACGACAAACCAGATGCCCCAGCCAGCCAATACGACCAGCCATCCGCTCCATCTGTCAGCTACGATCAGCTGGCGCCCATGCCATCGCACAACTACAACGAGGAGCACGTGGCCAGCTCGCCGGGAAGGAAACCCCCAACGGCCAAGCCCATTTCCACCAGCTATGTGACCGGACCTAGCACTCCACGTCCGCCAGCCACCGTTGACTACCACTACGACAATGTGCCGCCACTGTTCATGGCGGACGACAAGCTGGATGCCTTTATCCAGAGCACGGCGGAGAACATTGTGGGCTCCACGCCGGGCAACTATCAGCCGCCCTTGGTGGCGACCGCTTCGACGCCCATCTACGCCCAAAGACCCACCATCAGTGGTAGCTACGGCCATAAGAAACCCGGTTTCGTGCAGATCAATGGAACACCCAAACCTCCCAGGCCCACGGTTCTCATTACACCCAAGCCCACTGCCATTAATCTGGTGACCTACAGTTCGTTGAGTGACGATAGCAACAAGCTGGCCTCCAGCACGGGTGCCTATGTGACCGGAAGACCAGGAGTGCAGGGAGTGAGTTCCAACGACTTTGAGGACCCCGGATACTTTGGCAGCAGCCCGGTGCATGTGGCCTTCACGCAATCCACAACGGAGGCCATCTATGCAGTGCCCTCTGATGACAAGCCTGCGTTCCCTGGCTACTTCGGACCCACGCCCTCGTATCCCGCCTTCTCCGTTCCGGGCGAGAAAGTTGGCCAGAACGTGATGGAGGAAACCTACACGTCGCCCAACGACTTTGTCAATTTCCCGCCGGTGAGAAACCCCAATCTGAACATGTCTGCTGCCTCCAGTGCAGTGACCAGCGATCTGGACCTTTCCACGCCCGCCTTCGTGGAGGATGTGGTGCTGAAGGACAAGATGCACACGCTGGTCCATAAGTTGGTGGCCTCGCTGCAGGGCAACTTCGAGGCCCTGGCCGACATGATCGATGAGCCGGGAAGTAATAAGACGGCGGCCACCTACCAGGCCGGAGCAGGTGGAGCAGCCAAGCCCGTGAGGGTGGTAACTACGCGCAAGCCCGTGAGGATAGCCACCACAACCAGGCCGAAGGTCACCACCAAGAAACCCGTGACCCGCGTTACGACTAAGGCTCCCAACAAGAAGACCTCCGCCGTCAGCAGCACCACTCGCAAACCAGTGACACGTCGCACCACCGTGGCTGCCAAGGTGACCACCACCACCCGGAAACCGGCGACCAAGAAGCCAACCCGCCGGGTGAGCAGCACCGTGAAGACCACAACCGTGAGCTCGGCCAGGCCGGCGGACGATGAGATCGTGGACGAGGAGGACGAAGAGGACGTCAACCCCAATCCCAGCGACAACGAGATCGACCAGGGCGCCACGCTCAGCTCGTACGGCGGAGCCAATGGGCGGAAGATTCGTAAGTGTGGACTGAATGTAGCATGGACTAGCATGGACCCGAAACAACTGTCTTTCTCTCTCTATTTCTTGTTCTCTCACCTGCCCTTCACCTGTTCCTAACCCCTCACGCATTTAACCCAACGCTTCCTCAACCCTAATCCACCATTGCATTTTCGACTGATCCAAAAATTGTAGCGCGCCGCAAGCACAAGCGGCGAAACCAGAAATCCACTTAGACAATTCCCGAAAAAGAAAACCCCTCCTAGTTCTAGTGTCCCCCCACCCCCCACACTCCCTCTCCATGTAATTGTCCCATCAGTTCTATGCTTCCCACCAACTCTCGGACTCGACTTCTCGAACACTCCCCACTCCTAACCTCGCATTTCACTCCCCATCAACAGAGTGCGGTGTGCGGCCCCATGTCAAGTCCGGCCGCATCGTCGGCGGCAAGGGCTCCACCTTCGGCGCCTTCCCCTGGCAGGTCCTCGTGCGGGAGTCCACCTGGCTGGGCCTGTTCACCAAGAACAAGTGCGGCGGCGTCCTAATCACCAGCCGCTACGTCATCACCGCCGCCCATTGTCAGCCTGGGTAAGATATCCACTGTAATCACGGATTGAATCGTCCTTAACCAGGGATCTCTTTCTGATTTCCCTCCTCCGCAGCTTCCTCGCCTCGTTGGTGGCCGTGATGGGCGAATTCGACATCTCCGGCGATCTGGAGAGCAAGCGTTCTGTGACCAAGAATGTGAAGCGTGTCATCGTTCACCGGCAATACGATCCGGCCACCTTCGAAAACGATCTGGCCCTGCTGGAATTGGACAGTCCAGTGGCATTCGATACCCATATAGGTAAGTTTCAAGTTTTATAAAAAATGTATAAAGATATAAAAGTGTAGTACCCGAGCGGGAACTGCACTAAGTTAGGTTTTTCATCGTGTTAAAATTTAAACCCTATATACGTAAGTTTTTTAAGTGTCAAGCTTTAAGTTGATATACACATTTAGAATAACATCCTGTTAAAATGGAAACTTTACGCGTTTAGTTCCTTTTAAATTGTGTTCCATACTATCTTCAATTATTGGCTTTAACAATTGCTAATTTGAGTATTTCCTTTTCCTCCTCTGCAGTGCCCATTTGCATGCCTAATGACGTTGCGGACTTCACTGGACGCATGGCCACCGTGACTGGTTGGGGACGCCTCAAGTATGGCGGCGGAGTGCCATCCGTTTTACAGGAGGTTCAGGTAAGCACTCCCTCCTCACAATCTGCTTTGAAAAACGACTGACCCGGGGATAACTTAAATTAGGTGCCGATTATCGAGAACAGCGTGTGCCAGGAGATGTTCCACACTGCTGGCCACAACAAGAAGATTCTCACCTCCTTCCTGTGTGCCGGTTATGCCAATGGCCAAAAGGACTCCTGCGAGGTGAGTTCGGGGATTAATACAGAACACCATGACAAGATTAAATGATACTAAAAAGGCAGCCTATGTATTAGCAAAGCTCTAAAGTGGTTTTCTAATACATCTTTATAGGAACTTTTTATAATCATTGTAATTTCCTTTTAAAATGTAAAAGTAATTTGTAGTCTATATTTATTCTGAAACTTTTCTGGTGCACAACTGACCCCAATCGTTTACATTTTTCCGACAGGGCGACAGTGGTGGTCCGCTGGTGCTGCAGCGTCCCGATGGACGCTACGAGTTGGCCGGAACCGTGTCCCACGGCATCAAGTGTGCGGCGCCGTATCTGCCCGGCGTCTACATGCGCACCACCTTCTACAAGCCCTGGCTGCGCAGCATAACGGGAGTGAAGTAAGGTGTCGCCTCCACAGCCTCCACCGCCTCCGTGGTTCCCATGTGCCCGAGATGGCCAAGAAGCCGCTGGGGAAGGAGCAACAAGTGTAAATAGAACGTAGAGTTTTAAGAGTCGTGGACAGAAGCGTGAGAAGAAGAGTTGACTCAACTTTTTTGCAACGTCGCATTTTTCGAATCCTTCCCTCAAACCCTCCTCCATGCTACCATCATTTCATTAGCTTAATTGAAAATCAACTGCAGCAAACTTTGAACGAAATTCTGAGTTTTCGATATTTTGTTTGAGCAGGCTGCAGGTTCCGTTTTTTGAGTACGCGTGCCTAACACTTGTAGAGTCTGAATGAGAATTACGCTAATTGCAAGCCGTATGCTTAAGAAATATTTATTCTAGTTTTAAGCCTATTTATTTGACTATTTATTTATTTATGTGACGAAACGAAACGAAACGAAACGATTTGTGCGTTTGATTCAACTAAAAAAAATTGTTATTTTCATAGGCAAATTGTTGTTATGTTCAAATGAAAGCGAGAGCAAATGTTTTTAGTTCAATTGAATTTACTAATTTATCGATTTATATCATTAATTTTTTTATCTAATTACGTTTTATGTTAATTGTTAAGCGAATAAACCAATCGAAAAGAGATCGAAATAAACGACATAAATATTAATAGAAATAATACAAGTATTTTTATTTCCATTTGAGAATTGAAAAACTAAACAAAGGTAAACTTTTTGCAGCAGTCGGCCAGCAGAGTAAGTTTTATGTTCCCATTTTAGCATTAAAGTGTGCACATTTTACGACGCTTCCACTCAGTTCCACAGATATCAAACAAAACCAATGGAATTCTAGATATATTCTGACGCGGTAGCCTTGATGCAATTTCCGCCCCACGAAGCGCACTTTATTTCTTTCTGAAAATTACTACAGCACTCAGCCCACTCCTTTCCCCGCTCTCGGAATATTCTGTGTGGCAGGGCCAGCTTCCCCAGATGCCAACGTTGCAAGTAAATAAAAAACGAGGTTAACACTTTTAGCTCCAATCAATTGCCAGCGTTTTGCATCTCTTGGAACGCCAGAGGCGGGCTTAAAAAAATCCAGTTTAATTTAAAAATCTATTTAATGACACCTGCATTTAGAACGCATTGGGAATTATAGCATCATTAGAGTGTCAAAAAATGTATTAGGTAAAGTTAAAGTATTAATGCAGCTTACACTGCTTAGCCATTTTAAAGATAAATGTTTTAATTGTCTAACATAAACTCATTTATTTCGTTATGGTAGCTACAATTTAAAACGTGAATAACTTATATTATTTATTTTACCAGAAAGCAGCTAAGTAAACGTAATAATAATTTAATGCAGCGTATATCCTGCAGCCATATTTTACATTTACAGGGCAAACTTGTCCAACAAGAACATAAATTTAATATATGTACCTGATACGGGTGCAGCCCCATTTTCCTCGTTCTATTCAACCGCAAATGCCCTAAGTGGCTGAAATCATTTGCATATTGAAAATCCAGAGCTAAGTGCGTGGCATGGGCAAACAGACCTTATTATCCTGATGCAAGAAATGTCCTAGGGGGCAGGCTCTTTTCATCTCGTTTTGGCAGGCGAATTGCATGTTTTTCATTTAACAGATTTGCCTGCAGGACGGGCAGTTTATGTTAAGGATCCCATTTTGGTAAAAGTTTGTGGGGGGAGGGTGGTGAAGAGGATTTCTTATTAAATATGCTCTGCTGCCACAAATCATTGTGACGTCATGGCCAAAATTTGAACATCTAAATACACACATATAAACATGTTCCATTAAAATGGATTTCTAGGAGCTTTGACTGCGCCACAAACACACTTAATTCATAAAAATCCAACCGAAAGCTCAACGGGCCAAAAGCTCTGAGGCGGCAGCAAGCCGACAGGTGTTGTTTAAGCCAAGTCAGACAGTCAGTAGCCGACAGGACGAGCAGCCAGCAGGTATGTTGTGTGCCCCACAGATCCCATCCCCCTTCGCGAACGGTGAAAGTGAAAGTTGACACGTGTATCGTATGTGGTATGTGTTATCCGGTGTATGGTGTATATGTCCTGTGAACCGGAGGACGAAGGGTGCGGCGATGTGGTGCAACTAATGCAACTGCACTTTAAATGCATCTGCGGGCGTGTCGCAATCAACTCTGGCAAATGACGGTCTAATTTTCAGCCAAAATGGCACTTTTCCAGGCACTTGTGTGCGGGTAAAAGTTGGGAGCTGTTCGGCATTTGATCCAATTACCCCCCTTGAGTTCTGTCTAAGTTTCGGAAATATGATATGGCACAAAAGGGTATCATGTACGCAATTATAAGTAAATTTGGCGAGGGATTTTGCACACTGAATTTAATCCATTTTATTTGGTAAGCTGCAAGTTGATACTTTGATAAGTTATTTATTTTACCTTTATGACTTACAATTAAGCTTAGGCAAACCTATTTCAATGGTTTAAAAATAATGTAAAATCTTATTTTAAAGTTAAACGCATTATATTATCAGCCATCAATAAAAGGACCAGCTCAGTCAGTTTTAATTATAAACAGCTTAGGACCGTTTTAATGTTTTTTTAAGTGTAAATAAAAAAGCCCCTCTACAGAGACTAAAAACTATACTGCGGTAAAGAGGCTAATATTTGATTCATTAGAACCCTTCCATTCTCCTAACAATACGTAAACACCATTAATTAGTAAAGGTACTAAATTAAGATACCCCCTTAGGCCAACACCATAGTGAGAAGCTTGTTTTAGTTGTCAAAGTTCACACCAAGCATAAGCAAAAGGTCAACTTTTGGTACAAACTGCTGCTCAATTAAGAAACTTTTATCAACTCATCTCCTAAGCGCATACAAACTCCAGACACCTTGCAATTATTGGAAAAGTTTTATGAATTGTGTAAAATATTACTGGAAAACTAACTAATTGCAAAACTTTCAAATCACCCCAAAGCAATTAGCCATATTCAGGGAATGGATTGGACGCGGCCCAAAGTTTAGCCATCGCTGGAAATAGCAGTTTGACACTTTTGACCTGATTAGGACCCGAACGTGAGGACTCTTCAACGGCACTTTAGTAAATTAAGAAACAGGAAGCACCCGGATCAATTATAATTTACCTACCTGGCAACAAAAAAGCTCGCCCTTTTCCAGTTAAACTGCAATTAGTCAAGATTTGATAACCGGCTAAGGACAGTAAATTGAAATTACTGTCCTCGGCTGAAAAGGGGCAACTTGCCAGGCAACAGAACCGCGAAGTTGGCTGACAAGAACTTTGACAAGCCACGTCCGCTGGAAGTAGAAAAAAAGTAATTAACAAAAAGCTGAAAGAGAACCAAAAAGGACTCTTTCTGGTTCTGTTTACTTATTTTGCCCTGGCAACCTCCAAAAGCAGAAGCATTAACGAAATTGCACTCCCACGCCGGAAAAATGCCTGCGACAGGCGGAAAAATGTTATTTCTTGCCTTGAGCATGTCAACAGCCTTTCATTCATTTACTTATTTATGCCAAAACACCAACAACTGTTGCCCATCGACCATTTAGGGGGGTCAAAGCCTGAAATTCAATGTCTGCCATCAAGGTTAGCGATTAGGGAAGCAATCCAGTTAATAATAAAAACTGCCACCCCAATAAGTAGGCTATAACATTTAACATTTGATCTATTTTCAAAACAGATTGATGGTAATACTGTTGATTGCGCTATAATTGGTTATTTTGAAAAAGAATCCGCTTAACAACTAAGTTTGGTTAGAATGTTTACAACTTCTGTTTATGAGGTTATTAAACGAATATTTAAATTCACTTGCTAGAACCTTTTGCATAAATTGTTTTAATTACTTTCCCTAAGGGAAAGCCATCAGGAAACTGAATACAATTAACATACACTTTTAAAATGAAAGGAAAACACACTTTGAGTTTTTGTATTCCCTTAGGCAGGCATAACTTCCAGGGGTTTTATTCCGGCTTAGTATTGTTAATCTACTTTAAATGGTTTTGTGAGAAATGAAAGGAATGGAATAAAAACACTTTTAGACTTAATAGTTTTATTAAGCAAGTTTAAAACCAAATTTTAATTAAGGTCTTTGTTTTTCCTACTTCGTCAGTAAACTCTTTTAAATTTTTAAAAATAGCATACATTTTATAAAAAGGGATACAAATAATTTCCTTAAATTTTGTTTGTTATATATTTAAGATGCAATACCTTAAATTGGTTTCCGGTTAATGGTCAAATTTTTCCGAAGTTCACTGTTATCCGTCGACAACTGCCCATTACGATTTATATATACGACTTTCATCCGGCAATAAAAATGAAGCTATGAAAGCGAGTCAGAGACTGAGAATACATAAATTAAGTCACAGACGTTAATAACACTAAAAGCAAGCCGACAATTTTAATGAGCTGCCTGACAGGAGATTGCTGGAAGCCGTTACAGGAACCACCGATCTGACTCCGGGCTGAAAGGCAGCGATTCATGTGGCACACGCTTCATTGAAGCCCATGTGCACGGAAATGTGCTCGTCCCGGAGGGCAGCTGTCGACTCCCGACTAGGCATACGTTTTAATTAAGCGAATACTCGGTTCTCGTTTCACAGTTTCACAGTTTACCAGGAAACCGGGAAAAGGCCACAACAGGCGGCATCAGCAACGGAAATTCCACGGGCAAGGATGAACTAACGTGGCCGCCATGAGCAACATTCCGAGGTGGGCAGCCCTGCTGCTGCTCCTGGTTTTGGCCCATCAGCTGGACCCCTCGCTCGCCACGCCCCCATCCTCATTCTCATCCGGAAACGCCTGGCAGCGGGCTCTCTTCGGACGCGATTCGCGCAACCTGATGCACCGCAGAGCCCCGTTTCCCCTCGCCGGAGAACTGGGCCTCAATGACTACCTTGGCCCGTACTCCGCCGTCGAGCAGGAGCAGCACCAACCGCTTCCGCCGCCACAACAGGTGAGTGTGGTACATGGATGTTGACGGTAACTGCAGAGTGTACAACTGCTGACAGAGATTGATACTTAATGACTGCAGCCAGAAAATAAATAATATATATCTATCGAAATTGTAAGTGGAAAGTCGTTCCAAGTTAAATCACTTAGAAATATTTTATGTCAGTTCATGACATTTGGACAATAATTTGTGCAGTTATTGTGCACTATTATAATCTGCCTGGAGATAATTTAGCTAAATAAAGCCAGTTTATAAATTAAATTGTAGCCTGAATTTTTGACTTAAAAGACATCTTTTTTTTAAACAAATTTATGATGGATAAAACCAATTTAATTATCAACGCACATGAGGCATGTTAAATATTTAAATAAATATTTAATCCTATACTTATTTAGTTCTATATCTACAGCAAGTTTTTTGTTGACAAATAAAATTTCAACATGCTGTTTTCAAAACCAGGTTTATTAAGTGTCCTGGAAATATTTGAGAGCAAAATATATACCTCTCTGACTAAAGCATAAATGCCTCGTAACTCAACCGCAATGGCTCACAATCTCTTGACACATGCACATTTCAATTCGTATACGCCATGTTGGCAAGCCACAAATAGCCGAAGGCATTTGGCGCAGTGTTGTGCAGCAAATTGAAATTGAAGCCAGAATTCTCGTATGGTTTTATTTGCCACTTCGTTCATCGGTCCCAATCAAGGGAAAGTTCAGAGTTCACAGCGAAGCTCAAATTAATTAACGCACGACAAGTGTCAGCGTTATTGATAACTGACTGCTGCACTGCGTGAGCGGAAATTTACAGCTGAACAAACGCCATTCTAATTGCCACCGCTTTCAACCCATTCTTATATGTACACAGATGCGGCAACAGACCGAAGTTTACGGAATTGTAGAGCCACTGATTGAGGACACTCCCTGCGCCGACCGCGCCTGTTTCGTCAACGAGGATTGCTGTCCCTCCGGGGTCTGCGCCAACACATACGGCGGTAAGTTGGCCTAATTGGATTCCATAATACACTTAGAAATAATTAAAGTGATTTTTAAATTGAACAACCATACCATTAATACAAAGTAACGAGGACGAAAACTAGCGTTAGCTAATTAACTAAGTTACCCTTTTAGTCACACCGATTATTTAATACAGCGTGCGCTTCGATAAAAGCACGATAAAATTAACTCGACTTTTCTTTTTTTAATCAAAAACCTTTAGAAAGTTTCCAATCGATTGGCATTTACAGCAAGCAAATTTTCTTTTAGTCAATTTTTCGCACAAAATTATGAACTAAATGCCAAAATCAGGAAGATCCAAATAATAAACTTGTATTTCGTTTTTTTCATCAAAACCCTGGGAAAAAACGGACAGAGCTCAAAAATTACATTTTGGTCGGTTTTACGCCAAAAATGACAATGTAAAATTAACAATGAAAAATGCTGAAATCCGGATACGTTTTTCTCACATGATGGAATGTCTTACCTCGTTGAATTTGTTATAAAATTTCCAATCGAGTGGCATTCACAGCTCAAAAATTTCATTTTGGTCGGTTTTTCGCAAAAAATGACAATGTAACCCCTTATGAAAAATGCTCAAATCCGGAGATACTGAGATGCTGAAGTCCGGACATCCGGAAAAACCAACCTTTTTCTCGGTTTTTTGATTAAAACCCGTGAAAATAATGGGCAAATGTTGGAATGTCATACCTCATTGAATTCGTTATAAAATTTCCAATCGAGTGGCATTCACAGCTCAAAAATTTCATTTTGGTCGGTTTTTCGCAAAAAATGACAATGTTACCCCTTATGAAAAATGCTGAAATCCGGAGATACGGAAAAATCAACTTTTTTCTCGGTTTTTTTATTAAAACCCGTGGAAATAATGGGCATATGTTGGAATGTCATATCTCGTTGAATTCGTTATAAAATTTCCAATAGATTGGCATTCACAGGTCAAAAATTTCATTTTGGTCGGTTTTTCGCAAAAAATGGCAATGTAACCCCTTATGAAAAATGCTGAAATCGGGACATCCGGAAAAATCAAAATTTTTCTCGGTTTTTTGATTAAAACCCGTGGAAATAATGGGCATATGTTGGAATGTCATATCTCGTTGAATTCGTTATAAAATTACCAATCGAGTGGCATTCACAGCTCAAAAATTTCATTTTGGTCGGTTTTTCGCAAAAAATGGCTTATGAAAAATGCTGAAATCGGGACATCCGGAAAAATCAAAATTTTTCTCGGTTTTTTGATTAAAACCCGTGGAAATAATGGGCATATGTTGGAATGTCATACATCGTTGAATTCGTTATAAAATTTCCAATCGAGTGGCATTCACAGCTCAAAAATTTCATTTTGGTCGGTTTTTCGCAAAAAATGACAATGTAACCCCTTATGAAAAATGCTGAAGTCCGGACATCCGGAAAAACCAACCTTTTTCTCGGTTTTTTGATTAAAACCCGTGAAATAATGGGCATATGTTGGAATGTCATACCTCGTTGAATTCGTTATAAAATTTCCAATCGAGTGGCATTCACAGCTCAAAAATTTCATTTTGGTCGGTTTTTCGCAAAAAATGACTATGTAACCCCTTATGAAAAATGCTGAAATAATGTAACCCCATATGAATAATGTCAAAATCTTGAAGATCCTAAAAATCAACACCTGGATAAAACATAGCTATTGCTATAGTTTTATAAAACTACTATATGCTACGAAAATTGGTTATTGAATAAAACAAAGCAAGGAGCTTTGAGTAAATAACCTTAATTTATTTTTTGAGTGTAAAATATATTTTGCAGAAGGGAAATGCGTTTATATGTTCGGACAAAGGGATGTGTGCCAGCGGCATGCGGACTGTCCACCGGGCAGCGCCTGCATGCTGGTCGCCCAGGAGGGCGTCTGGCGGTGTGAGTCGGAGCCGGAGTCGGGAGGCTCCACATCGCTCCTGAAGGACATATTCGGACTGAGGCAAAAGCAGCCGCTGGGCAGCGAGTGCAGTAGCAGCAGCGACTGTCAGGTAATCAAGTAAGTAACAGAAGTACATCGTATTCGTGGGAGGTCTAAATATTCCATTTCTCAGTGGCATGTGCTGCCAGCAGCAGCGGTTGCACCACCGTGCAGCCATCAAGCTGAGCTGTGGCTATTTTCGGGATGCCTTTGACTGCGTGGACATGGTCGCATCGGAAGTGAGTGGTCAATGCTGAACTAACTAATCCCTTTAGAACACCGTAACTATTTTTAAATTATTGCCATTCTTTGCGCAGCACAACCGCAATTGAGAATAAAAGTCCTTGGCCAGCGAAACAGATAAAGGCAAACAGGAAATGATCAAACCAAATTATTGAAATACAGACAAACATGAAGCGAATTATTTCAATATTAAAACATATCAATATGTTAAACCAATACATATCAAATGGAATTTGCTGTAGCTAAGAGCATTGAAATTTATAATCTGCATATGAATATTAATTATTACTCAAACAATCTTGGATATCTAAATGTGTTTTTAGTAGAAACTCCAAATATACTGACTGAGGCATTCAATGTTAATTACAGAAAGAAGAGTATTCCAATGCAAGTAAACCGTTTCACTTCTAAATGTAAATTGAAAACAATAAATTAATTAGCAAAGATCTTAAGTTTTATGCATTTTATTTCATCAAATAACTTTTTAAATAGCAGGACCCCAGAAATCGCTGGTAAGTTACGTTATTCTCAAAAGGGGTCTGTTCCCTGCTCTTCTACAACGACCTACATAAAATAATACTTATTTAAGTGATGACACGAAAAACTTGTTTATGTAATAAAGGAAAAAATGTAAGAAGTTTCGGAGAGTTTAATGTAATTTTCGATGTTTACAGCGTTGTAAAACTGTACATATCATACGATGCCTAAGGACTTTTTCCATCTGGTAGTTTTAATAAAAGCTTTCCACACGCTTTGCTCAGAATAACATATTTATGCACCACACAAGCTTGTTAAACAAGTATACCAGAATATTAATGAGAATAAGTAAGCAATACAAAGAAAATAATTTACTAAATAAAATACTTCCCAAAACCCAAACAATAACTAATTAATTAGGTATACGCCAGGAAAATGGAAAATTACCAACCAACAATGCCAGTAATTTTACAAATATTTTCGGTTGGTTTTATATTTGTATTTTTATTTAAAGTGCCAGTAAAAACGCAGCTTAAAGCTAAAAGTTAGACTCTGTTTACACTTTCAACGCTTTTGTTTTGAACATTACACCCAAGTAAATCATTCCTCCTTTCTCAATCTCTCTTTGCCTTTCTATATATCTCTCAAGATCCAATCCATTTACGATTAATACACATTACAAATGCTTTCGCTTATTACCTTTATGGCTGAGACACTTTTTGCTTACTTGAGCCTAACATAAATCAAACAAAGTTCATCGTTTTAGTTCTTAAATCTTTGAAATGTTGAACCAAAATTATGTTTTGCAGCAAAATAGGATTTATTTTTTTGTAAAATTTATTTTTTATATGTTTTTGCGCACTGTTAAAGTCTTTTGTTGATTTTGTGTTCTTCGGTTTTAATTGAATGATAAACTCAGTTCAATGTAAGTTGTTTTTGGTTTGGATCAGGGACTAAGGTCGTGGGTTTTAGGAAATGCCCCACACTGGAGGTTGTTTTGGGGTTGTCTTAAAAAACAACTTTCTGCTTAAACTTAGCTCGGAACACAGTCAAACAATTATCAATTAACGCGTTTCATTGAAATTTGTCTCTTTTTTTTGTGTTTGACTCGCACGCACAGACTATTTACAGATTTTACAAATACAGGAATAGTTTTAGAAACTAAATATATGTATGCGAATACAGCTATCAATATTTTGTTTAGATTTTTTCCCAAAGAAATCGATTGTGTTCGTACAGGAAATGATTAACTTCGGTAGGCTTAACATAAAATAGGAAAGTAAATTTCGCAGGCCGAAAAATAACAATATGTATTACATAATCATAACCCTAATTACAATCTGGCATGCACTGCTTATTTGTAGCTTATATCCAAATGATTAAGATGTTAATTAATGTTTACTTTAATCTCTCAGCTGCCGTGTGTTTATGGGTTGAGGGAACAGGGACTGTGTTGAAACTACTATTGCATTCTGGTAATGGTTTGTGTGTACAGGTATACATTGATAATGGACTCATTTAGCTTTATGGCGTTTGGTGTGAGAAATTAATTATTATATGTAAAACATATTGTATAACCCGGAACAAGCACACCAAACTGTGTGTTCTCATACTTAAATTAGTGGTTTAGGTTTGTTCACGAAACATTTAGTTCCTTAGAATTTACAATAGAAGCAAATATATATACTATATTTGTTTCATATGTTAATATACCATACATTTTTTGTAGAACTTTTATAGTTTTGTTTACTTTGTTGTGTTTTTATGGCTACAACGAAATAGGAAGAACAAGCTTTGGTTAAAAAAAAAAGAACAAGAAACAGAAATAATAAAAGGACCAAGGATATGCAACATATGAATAGATGAAATAACAAAAATAATAAGTATGCGTGAGGATGAACATGCAACCAATTTTGATTGATTGCCAGAGTCGAGAGTTTTAATAGACATTTTAAAAATAGTTTAAACTTAGTATTGCAAAAATAAGTTCCTCAATCGATATAGAAATACACTTTTGGGAGAAGGGCTTGGTTTATATTAAGATTAGGAGGCACAGCAGCAGCAATAGCGACGTGGGCATGGCAAGCTGTACGTGAGCAGGCGGCGCACCAAATTGTTTAATTCTTTAAATTTTATTTTTACGTTACGATTTCCTGAGTTTGTCAACTTTATCTGTTGGTTAATGCCTAAAGTTATCTTCTTTGCTGATGATCTGTATCTGTATCTGTTTTTGTATATTTTCTATTTTGCAGGCAACAATTTTTCAGTGATTTGAATCTATTTTCTCACTGCTTTCTACTGCTGCTCAGTCTTGACAAAGTCTTACTGTATTTTTCGTTTTGTATTTATCGTTTTGTTAGCTGGATTCTCTAGCTCGCGAACAGGATTTATAAAAAATATATATTGTGTATATAAGGTGTTTTTTTTGTTGGTATATAAGGTGTTTTTTTGTTGGTATATAACTAGGCCCCATCTGGTAGCTCTAATGGCAGTGCGGCAGATTCCTTTGGGGCGCCGCTTTGCTCACGCTGCCCGGAAACAAGCAAATCTCAGCGTAAATGTCAACGAAGGTTATGTACAATAGTTCAGGATGGTGTAAACACAAAACTAATAACGAGGTCGTTCTGTACGAAAACAAAGCAAAGCATTTGAAACGTTAAGGATGAATTAGCACTTAATATTTACAATTTTCTTTGTATTTCATTTCTTAACGGATTTCTGGAACTGCTTCGCAGGCGCTGCCAGGACATTTAAGGTAACACGGGGCCAGGTTACAGGTTACTAATGTATGTCTCCCCCAATCCCATTGGTCGCGGGGCCTTCTCGTCAAACTAGAGCCACAATCAGTTCTTGACCTTGTCCTCCACACTGATGCTAGCAAGTGTCTTTTTGATGCGCAGCGCTGTCAAACGGGCCACAGGGTTGGGATACCAGCATTCTTTCATTACCTTGGCCATGTTGTGGAGCACATCGGAGGCGTGCCAGCGATTTGGAATGTTTGGTCGGCTCTTCTCTATGCAAACCACCTGAAAAGACATAATAAATATTAAGACTAATCATTTACATATAGAGCATCTGAGACTCGCCTTTTTCATCTCCTCAATGCTGGGATCTGGCTGCACGGCATCGTAGTACGGCAATTGGTACTCGTCGTATATCATGCCCATGTTGCAGCGACGTGCAATCTCCCAGAGGATCAGCCCAAAGGCGTACACATCCGCACGCTTGTACGAGTCAAAGTGCTGGTCATTCATGCTCTCGTCCAGCACCTCGGGCGCCATGTAGCGCTTGGTGCCTACGCGATGCGTTGATGGTATGTCCACCGAGTCATTTTTCTCCACATGACGCACGGCCAGACCCAAGTCCCCAATGGCACAACTCAGGTTTGACTTGACCAGTATGTTCTTGGACTTGAGATCGCGGTGAGCGATGGCGGGCTTGCCGCGGGTTCCCACAATGTCCATGTGCAGATGGGCCAGTCCAGTGGCAATACTCAGCGACATGTTCAGCATGGTGTTGGTGTCCACCGTGTGCGTGGTTAGATAGTCAAACAGCGATCCGTTCTCATGGTAGTCGGTAACCAGCCACAACTGGGTCCAAGTTCCGTTGTCTGTCAGAAAGCAATAACCAAAAAGGTAAGCAATTATAGAATCTGTTGAAAGCTGGGCTGATAAGCTCACCCTTGTTATCCGCAGCTATAAAGCCAAGAATGTTCTCGTGCCGAAGCATTACCGTCTGATAGATTTCCGCCTCGCGGAACCAGGAGCACTCCTCGCGACTGGAAAATATCTTAACCGCCACGTTCTCGCCGCGCCAGCGTCCACGCCAGACCTCGCCGAAACGTCCCTTTCCGATGACATGGCACAGTTGCACTTGTCGGGCAATGGAACGCTGCACCAACAGGGGCAGACCAGCTAAAAGGAAGAATACAGAATTAGACCAATACCCAGGTGGAAACTCCCCCATGGAACTCACCCGAACCCGAACCAGAGGTGGTCATTTCAATGATGTCGTGTATGGTAGTATTACCATTCAGTATGGGATCGTACACAGAATCCTCCTTGGCGAACGGCCTGCCGCTGGCCAAGCGCTTTCGACGTTGGCAGTAGTACCAGGTACTGGTGCCCGTGAGGCAAATGAAGAGGGTGGCGCCAAGCATAATGGCCACAAGTTCCCAGCTGGTCAAACGATGCGGCACATAATCTGGACACAATTCAAGGAGACTTTTATTATTAAGAACAGACAAAATGTAATTCATGTAAGTGTGGTCGAATTAATGGAAAATAAATACAAAGAGAATGCAGAATGTTAATTTATCAATTGAAGGTGGCATGCAGGAAGCCGTTAACAGGTAAATGTGCGTGATTACAGAACAAAATCGGGGTGCAAAAACGAAACAAAACCAATCCGAACCCAAAAAGCTCATTCCAAACACGGTTAGCGGTTAGTAATACTTAAATGTAGTAATTTATTTACAAAAAACAGCACTGACCTGCACATGAATAATTCGAGTTATTTACAAACCTTTGCATAGTATAACGGCAACGAGCTTAAAAACTACTTCAAAACTACTTCTTGATGAAAAAAACTTATAAAATAAAAACCACTTTTTTTTGGTTGTTTACAAGAAAAGAAAACTAAACAATTCCAAACCCGAATCCCAAACGAAATATTCCGCAGACGAACTAACTCATACTCACATACCAACCACTCACTGAACAAACACAAAAGTGCAATGGAAATGAGCGAAAAACTACGAAAAACGACGATTTAATACCCTAGCAGAAGTTACATCGTGAGTTTAAAAAAATTAGCTCGAGGTTAAAACACTTTTTTTCACCAGGACTTTACTTATAAGGGGCTCTATATTGGATTAGTAATCTTAAAAAAAAAAAATCTTTCAATAAATTAAAGTACAAAATAATATTTGAAAATTACATTAAAAAAAACTTGGTTTGCAGTAAATTTCCTCATA